AATGTTTTGCCCTTGAGTCTTAAAAGATAGGCACTGAAAAGAGGAGAAATCTAGCTTAGCAGCAATATATGTCAAAAGTTTGTTGAAACAACTGTGGTTTTTGGTTTTATAGTGCAGCAATATAAGTATAATCTGTAGAACAGGTTAAAGAGCGATAGTTCCTCCGTGTTATATTGGTCAGACCACTTACAGCAATATGTTCAGGTTTTGGCCAAACTGAAGTACAGTATAGTTTAAGAACCAAGGCAATGCCACTTTTTCTGTTACTGAATCCCATAGTTAGAAGGATTTGTTCTGTTCTGTGCGGTTGTACCACGTACTGCTTAGACTTTGTTTTCTCCTATCTTATTGGAGATAGTTCTTTCTGGATCTTGATTGCTTGGGTGGGGACTCAGTCTTGCCTCATCCATGCTAGTGCTTAAACAGATCCCTCATGAAATGAGACCAGCGTACTGAGAGCATAGTGTTAAAGGAACATGAAAGAATAGGATATGAGTAATGGTGAAAGTGTGTCTGGCTGTGCAAGAGGAGAGTAATCTCCAGCTCTTTGTGAAAAAGGAATCACAGTTGCCCTGTGTTTGCAAGTTACTAGTAGATTTTGGAAGAATGATCTACTAAAGAATTAGAGAAAAGGGCAGTGGATATTTTTAATATTCTAGAAAGCGTTGATGTCAATAAATTCATCCGTCTCTCATTAGGAAAACGTTAGCTGATGAAGTCTTCTGGGTCTGTGTTTGGATGTAAAGATTATGTCAGAAAGATTCTGTTGACATCTTCATCATTTGAAGTGCTTGTAGCAGATTTTGAAATCAGTCTTAATTGCCTTTTAGACTGACATTTTGGTTTGTTCGCTTTTGTCAGTGGCCGTTCATCTTCTTGTTGCTGGTTTTGTTCTTGACCTAGTTCTCGTCTTGTGGAGGCGGTATAGCGTAGCAGTTGAGAACAGACTCTGGAGTCAGGCTTCCTGCGATTGCTTGCCTGCTCTGTGTAACCTTGGGCAAGTTACTTCTCCTTTTTGAGACTTAGTTTCCTCATCTTTAACATGGGAATGATAATAATAGTGGTTACCTCATAGGATTACTGCAAAGATTGACTCAATTGGAATACTTAGAGGGCATGGTGCCTGACACAGTGCTGTGTGCCATAGCTCAACAAGTGTTAACTGCTTGCTGTCACTGCAGTTATTAGTTCATAACTTCAGGTATTCACAAACAAAGCAGCTCACACTCCCCTTCCTCTCTTCCTGCCTTTACCTTTATACTCCTACAAAGGGAAAGATGTACTGCTGCCTTGCTTTCAGCATTTTTGTTGACATTATCATTGCATATACTCTCCTCAGTTTTGCTCACTAGATAGTTTCCTATTCAGTGCAGGCTGAAGGAAAGGAAAGTCTAAGGCTCTTTTCAGTCTGAAACAGTCTTTTAAACAAAACTGCTTTATCGAATTATCTCTCTCTTTATAACTTTATTAACCAGTGTAATTTATCAGCAAAAGTAATTTTTCCATAACATTTACCCTGAAATATTGCAGTTCTAAATACCTTCTGAAGTATTAAAGCAAAATTATATTCAGTGTGATTTTTATGTTTGGCTTATTTGAATATTCCAGTTAAAGTCGTGACCCAAACCAATCTGGAAAACTGCTTGGTGATGTTTACTGAAGCCTGATGTCCTGTGGTCCTGCTCCCATGCACGTGCTTGGCAGATGTGGGCACGTCTGCATGAAGACAGTACTGGGATGCTTATGACAGCACTGTTCGTAGTTGCCCCTAACTAGAAATTACCCAAGTGCTCATCAACAGTAGAATAAATTTTGGTATATTCACACGATGTAATACTAGGTAGAAATGAAAATGAAAGATCTGCCAAGTATATCTCAGCAGTGTGGTTGCTCAGCAGTAGGATGAATCTCACAGAGTACTGAGAGAAAGAAGTCTAAAAGAGCATTTACTATGCTGCACGATTCTGTTTCTGTCAAGTGTAAAACTGCGCAAAACTAATTTGTTAGGAGTCCATGTAGTGACACTGGTGACTGGTGGGGAAGATGAAGGGAACTTCTGGATTGCCGTTAATCTTCCATCTCCTGATACAGCTATCTTCAGTTTGTGAAAACTCATCAAGCTGAAAAGTTATATTTTGTGCACTTTATATATAGTCATAAAATCTTTTAAAAAAATCAACACATTTATATATCATAAACCTGTTCCTTTATACTTTGATGATACTGAGGTGCCGGTCTGCATGCACTATTTTTGACCAGCATCCTTGTTTAATCATCAGAGAATTACAACACAGAGAAGAAAGGTGGGCATCCAGTTTCTTAGTCTCCTAGCATTGGTGGTTTTCTTGGGCTTCCTACATATTGTCATAAAGTGCCCCTGTCAGAAGATACGGATGAGGACGATCCTTGATCGCAGAGCAAGCATCCTTTTAATAAGAAGATATTGACCCTGGAGGGTGACGTTAGGCATGTGGTCCTGGCTTAAGGCAGCACCTTCTTGGCCCATCTTACTTAAAGGACCAGAGAGTTTTGCCAAGTTAATTGACAAAGCCTGTTATGATACCTTGTAGACTTTGTGGATGAAACAAAGTAAATTTGCACTTAGTTTTAAGTGACTCACATCTGAGGGAAGGATAGGAATTTGTAAGCTGTTTTAGCAAGTTATTCATTTTAGCATCCACAGGAAAGATAATATTTAATTATCTAAGACCTGTTTTTTTTGCAGGGTTCAGTCAGTTTTCTATTAATAAGAATAGATTGGTTTTTGGACTTTTACTTATGTGTATTTGATTTTTATAAATTTTCTCATGTTTAAGAATAACACATGCCTCTCATAGCAGATCCAGCAATACAGAAATGATTAAGAAGCAAACACTCTTGCAGTTCCACTTGTGGACCCTTTTTTGTGTCGGTACATACTATAAATTTATTGATTCTAAGATGCATTTTATTACTCCATGTTTTAATATCTCTGAACTTGGGATGTGTTTCTCAATTGCTGTCCGCCAGGTGGCAGTCATGATGGAGTTGTCATCACCCAGACATGGAAATTTGGCCATAGCTGTTCCTATTGTCTTCACTTCACTTGAGTTCTATGCCTTGTTGGTATGGCATAGGTTGTTTTAATTGCTGTTATAAGTATCGTGAAAAGAACTGCACTGCAATAGTACCCCCTTGTCTGTAGGGGATGTGTTCCCAGACTCCCAGGGGATGCCTGAAACTGCCGATAGTACCGAACCCTGTATACTATGTTTTTTCCTATACGTACATACTTATGTAAAGTTTAACTTATAAATTAGGCACAGTAAGAGAGTAACAATACTAACTACTAATAAAATGGAACAATTATGACAATATACTGTAATAAAAATTACTGTAGACCTTAACAACCTCAGCATATGATTTTTTTCAAGAACTTTTACCTTTTTACATGAAGCACTTTATTGGCTTCTCTTTGGCATATCTGAATTGCCAGCATTACTACTCTTGCACTTTGGGGTCATTATTAAGTAAAATAAGAATTACTTGAACACCAGTGCTGAGATATCTCCACAGTAGATCTGATAATGAGCTGGCTACTAAGTGACTAACGGGTCAGTAGCAGGTGGCGCATACGGTGTAAATATGTTGGACAAAGGGATGGTTCACATCCTAAGCAGGACAGAGCAGGACCACACAAGATTTCATCATGCTACTCAGAGTGGTGCACAATTTAAAACTTATAAGTTTATTTCTGGAATTTTCCATTTAATATTTTCTGACCATGGTTGACCATAGGTGTCTGAAACTGCGGAAAATGAAACTGCAGATAAGGGAGGACTACTGTATGTGATCTGGCATTAAAGCAGAAAGTTAGTGTGTAGAAAGGCACAGAAAAGGCAGCAAGGTGCCTTAACATGAGTGAAATATTCATTATTGGAAGGATACAAGTTCTGTTTCCCTGCAAAGTGAAAACCAAGTGCTTTATGGAGTCAAGAAGGGGAGCCATTCTAGGAGTGCATGAAAGTGTGCTGCATTTTGTTCCTGAAACATGTGCAAAAGCATTCCCTTTCACAAGCCAAGCAATGCAACGGAAGGCAGGAGAAATCGCCAGATCCCGTGGAAGAGGTGGTTGGTAGGACCAATTCACACACCATACAGGACTGTTGTCAAGGCACTGTGTCATAGCTTTAATTGCTCATTTCTGCTTATAAATGAATTTAATGAAGTTGATCATCTTTTTATGTGTTTATTCAGTGTTTTACATCCGTTGAGAGAATCATTTGGCTTTTCCGTTTTAATCTATGGATATAACCTTTTATATTAATACATTTTCTGATGTCAAACTGTCCTGTATTTCTGGGAAAGCAACTTACTATTTTCTTTTTAAATTAATAGTTATCTTGTGGACATCTTTTCAATTTAGTGCTTATAGATTTACTTAGATCTTTTAGTGGCTCCATTATTTTTCTATTGTATGAATATACTATAATTTTTTAAATGGCTGCCTTATTGATGTGCATGATTTCCAGTTTTTGTTATTAAAAACAGTGTAGTGGGAACATCGATCTACATTTACCTTTATATACTCAGGCTAGTGTTTCTATGGAATAAATTCCTAGAAATGCTATGCATTTTCATTGTTAATAACATGAAAGAAATTTAAAAGTTAATTTAGAAAAGTATTTGCTTGGTTTAGAAATGTTAATCATTGTTGGAAAATATGCCAGCATGCCAACAGTGGTTGTCTTGGGGTGATGGACTTATGTGTGACTTTTAAAAAGATTTTAATAGTAAAAATGGAAGTTACTTAAAAAAGCTAAACATTTATGAAACCAAATACTACTTTAGAAGTTCTGGGATTGTGAGCACTTGGAGGGTAGGAACTGTTGTAGTTGCCAGATAATTCATCTAGCACAATGCAAAACACAGGAAGCAAAGTCAAAAGATGTTTGTAGAAGTAAGTTGAATCGATTTTTTGAGTTTAACAGAGAAAAAACTTATTGCCAATTCTTTTTCAGGGTTTTTTGATTAACTCAAAACCAGAGAATGCCTGTGAACCCATAGTGCCTCCACCACTGAGAGACAATTCATCTGGCACTTTCATCGTATTAATTAGAAGACTTGATTGTAATTTTGATGTAAAGGTAATGTTTGCTTTTTTCATTTTTGTGTTGCTATTTGTTTAGTTAGCTAACTTAAATTCTCCCTTATTGCAGAAAGGATTTAAGAAAGTTTACGCAATTCATTCAGATTAGAGAAAGAAAGGAGTGAGGACAAAAGGCGAATGAGGAGATAGTGAAGGCAGGAAAGACAGGAATGGGTTTACTTGAGTCTTTTTCATTGCTACAAAACTCACTCTAAACAAACAAATTGACTAGGCTATAAATAATTACTGATGGTTGTTGGGCATCTTGAACTGTGGTTTAATAGTGTAATCTTGCTGGTCTAATCTAGGAGTGGAAATGTTAGCCTTTACTTTGACGCCTTCACCCTCCACTGTCAGTACTACACCTGTATCCGTAGCTATGTTGACACTCGGCCCTTTCTTTTGTAATAAGCTGACTCTGTCACCTGTATAAGGTTTGTCTCCCTGGAGTGGGTTAAGCTGGCATTTCAGATAGTAAAATAAACTTTGCCGTAGGACCTGCCTCATGATTGTCAGTGCTGCTCTAAAGGTATGGTTTTTTGATACTTTAATATAAGTCTTTACAAATCTGTTTTTGGATTGGCCTAGGCAGAAGAGCCACACTGAGTCCTGTGTAAAATAAGCCTGGATATTACTTTTACTGGACTGCCTCAGACCTGAGTGTCTTAGAGAATAGACATGGGATATTATTCCATGTAGTTTCCATCACTTGATCTTAGATGACCTGCTTGCTCAGTAGGAAAGGCTGCCCTCACTCCTGCTGTGCCCGAATTTTGTCTCTGTTCCTTTCTTTTCATGAAAGAAATGACACCTCCATAATAAGCTTATTAAAGTTATAAGATAATAACTGTACAGGGCTTTGAAAATGTAGGGCACTTTGTAAATGATAGGTATTGCTACTATTGCATATTAGTTCCAAATCTAAACTCAATTGCCTTTAGATGGGAAATAAATTAGAGCTTGAAGTCAAGTGTAGTAGATTTCCTGCTCTTCAGAGTTGTCTTTTATAGTAGTTCAAATTTAAACCATTATGAGATTTGATCCAGAACTAAAGTACAATAATTGTAGATTGTTCCAACAAAAATGAAGTGTTATTGTAATATTTCATTAACTTCTTGCCACTAAGAAATTAAAAGTAAACCTAAATCTGCTGATTCCGAGGTTTGTTGCACTATCAAGTTATGTAATTTTTGGCTCAGTCCCGTCTTGGGTAACTAGAAACTAGAATACCTTTTATTTTTAATAACTTTCTTTTTCAGGTGAGGATGGGAGGTGGTTCACCACAAGTTTCAGGGAAATAGTGTCACTGAATATTTGTTTTTGAGGGTGAAAACACAGTTCAGGAATGAGTAGGTCGGCTTGTTAGTCCTCCTGTCCTGTTAGTGGATTGTCGTCGTGAATCTCAGCTCTTCTAGTGGAGTTTTATGGTGTAGCTGTTGCTCCAGCTCATCTCTTTTCACTTCATGCTGCAGCCGTTCCACTACGTGAAGTCTCTCAGCTTGCTGTGCCGTGCTGACTGCACCTTTGTGCCTTTACATACTGTTTTCTCTGTTTAAGATCTCTGTCCATGATGACCTGTACCATCTGTATTTCTGACTGTTTCATCATTTAAGTGCCAGCTGAGGGTGTCTGTTCCTCTGGATTCCTTACTTTTCCTCCTACCCTCTTTCTGGCAGAGCAAGCATTCCAGCTCGAGTGCCACCCTTCCACTTTGTAAATACCTCCTTTACTGCTCTTTATCACATTATTATTTTTTATTCTCTATATATTTCACATATATTGAGCTTACTGTGTTTAGAGGTCATGTTTTAATTATATTTGTATGTCTAATTTGTATCATAGTGCATAGTAGGAGAGCAATAAAGCTTTTTAAATCAAACTATGTAGTATAGTAGTAAGCCTTTTGCTTTTTTGTATAATGCATTCTTTAAAAACGTGTACATGTGAAAATGTTTAAGTTGAGGATTCTCTCATCTCAGATAGGAAAATGTTAAAAAATTTCCCATTGTTATACCTTATCATGTAGACATAGTCTTAGTGGATAAGGTTCTAGTCTGTTGTACATGTTCTTTAACTTCATTCTTTTTTCCTTCACAAATAAACAACAGAGTATATTATAGCCATTTAAGGCTAAAGGTTCCTTACTCAGTCGTTCCTAATGCTTTCTGTCTTTGTCTCAGTTGTATTAAATTTGTGAGACATCAGTTTGCAGAGGAGACACATTGATTTTAATCAGGGTCTGGAAACAGGCCACGTGCATTTGAGTCCCATCTTTATCATTTATTAGCAGTGTGATCTTGGGCAAGTTGTTTCACCTCTGTGTGTCTCAATTTCTTTACCTATAAAATAGGAACTATCATATTCCCTAGATCATAGGATTGTTATGAGGGTCAAATGAAATAATCAGTGTTAAATGCTTATCAAACAGTGCCTTGCACACAGTAAGTAGGCAGTAGGTGTTAGCCATTGATATTTTACACTTTTTAGCATTGGTTAAAATAAAAGGGTAAAGATGGCAAAGATGCTGACTGTATCAGGCCAAGAAGTCCCATAATCTGCTGTCTGCAAGCTGGAGACCCAGGAAAGCCTGTGGTTAGTCCAAGTCTGAAGGCCTGAGAACCAGGGGAGCCAGTGGTGTAGGTCCTGGAGTCCAGAGGCCCAGAACCAGGAGCTCTGAGGTCTGAGGGCAGGAGATGATGGATGTCAGAGAGAGAGGGAATTCGCCCCCCCTTCACCCTTCATGATCTCTGGGCGCTCAGCTAGTTGGATGACGCCTGCCCACGTTGATGAGGTGGATCTTCTTTACTCAGTCTGCTGAGTTACATGCCAATTTCTTCCAGAGACTCTCTCAGATACATCCCAAAATAATGGTTTGTGAGCTCTATGGGCATCTCTTAGCCCTGTCAAGTTGACACATAAAGTTAACCATCACACCGATCTTTCAGAAACTAAATTATTGGCTGGAAAGTCAAATTGTGATATAGTAACTCTGTGTCAGTTGAGCTGTAAAATTTCAAATTTGCTTATAAAGGACAGTTTAGTCATGCCACTGTGTAATGTATAAAGTGTGAGTTTCTTAAATACACAAGAAAAAGAATTATGGATCACCAGTTAAGGTAGTGTGAATGGATAAGGGTAAAATCATCATGGTTACTGGAAAAACAACTGGAATTTCATCCCGAAGAGAATTGCCTTTCTACAGGTGGTCACTGGTAGAGAGGCTCTTAGCTTTATTACCTATAATCTTCAGGTCAGAAATCTATGCTTGTCTTTTCTGGGCTTCCAAATTGATGACTATCTAAGGTTTTATATTTAGGTATGTTATGGAACCTAATCATTTACAATATATGTATAGTACTTTTTTTCTGAATTGCAGATAAATAGCTCTTTGTAGATAACCAATAGTTGTTCATTCGTATATATCCACAATTTTGTACGAATGCAGTAACTTCATAGAAAATTAAGAAAATAGGAAAATAACTCATTTCCTTATTCCTGATGTAGTATCCTGGGCTTGAGTATTCGAAAAGCTTAATTGAGCACCATGCAGAATGCTGCAATTGGAGGTAGTTGAAGGTTATTTTTTTCCCATGCCTTCTATCCAAAGTGATACCCAGATTATCTCAGACAAATGCAAATTGGCTCTGTTTTACAAAGCTTTCCTTGGAGAAAGGAACCCTTTCCATTGGTGACAACAGAAGAGAAAGGAAGTAAGAAATAAAATTTTGTCAAGATATTGCAAATGATTAATGGTGGTGGGTATTTAGGGTTTACTTTTTGTAATTCTTTAGATTTTGTTTGAAGATGAATATTGTACTGTAATTAAACAAATCTAGACTTCTCTTATTTCTTCCTTAAAAGTAAATGATGAAGTGAAAGTTGTGTGCTACAATAAAGAAAATGACAGATTTTCTCTATAGGAACTATCCCAAGTGTTTTGTGACTCCAGGATAGCCAATAAGACAGCAGAAATGCAATCAGCAGTTTTTGGAGGGTAGGAAATTGCGTTGTTTGTAACGTTCTTCAATAAAGAGGGCACTGTTTTAATTTTTTTATCTTCTGTCAAGAGAAGCACATTTGACCCCTTTAAATCTGTCTTGCCCTGAAAAGATGCAGCAAAACCCAGCTCAGAATCAGTATTTGGATACGTGGGATGTCCAGAAGACCAGTAGGAACGACTGTTGATTACACGCCAGCTGATTATTCTGAAAACAATCACTTTTACTCACACTGACGAGAACTTATCCTCTGAAAAACACAGCTCTTTAGAGGAAAAGCAAAACAATGTTATTTTGTTTATCTTTTTACAATGCTGTTCTTTACTGTGATAAAATATAATTGTTTGGAAATACTAGTTTTTGATGAGTATTTGAAGTTAAAAAAGGGCTCATGGGTAAATGAATTAAGGTTATATTAAATCTTTTAATTAGAAAAGTGACTTTGTAGCATTTTGAGGCAGAGAGTTTTCAGAAGACTTGAATTGGCATCCCAGTGGGAAATATGACATTTTAAAAAAAATTTGTAAAAATATATAATCACTTAAAATAGAACTTTTCAGAACTGCACAAGTTTCTATGTTTATAACCAAATACAGATTAGTTATCAGAAATCTGTTCATTGTCATTGTAGTTCAAGATATTTCTATCATGTGGTTTTAATGCTAAGTCAACAATTTCTTTGAATAGCCAATTTACTTTATTTATTTCTTTGGGCTGCCAAATTTAAGGGCTTTTTTTTTTTTTTTGAGAAAGATCAGCCCTGAGCTAACATCTGCCAGTCTTCCTCTTTTTACTGAGGAAGCCTGGCCCTGAGCTGACATCCATGCCCATCTTCCTCTACTTTATATGTGGGATGCCTACCACAGCATGGCGTGCCAAATAGTGCCATGTCCGCACCTGGGATCCGAAGCGGCGAATCCTGGGCTGCCAAGAAGTGGAACGTGCGAACTTAACCGCTGCGCCACCGAGCCGGCTCAGGACGTTTTTTTTTTATTGTTGT